TCAAGTTTTCACTTGTGCTTCTAAATACAACTTTGTTCATCGCTGACCGTGTACAGTGTTAGCACATAGTAGAACGTGAAAACGTGGATGTACTATAGTATCATAATCGGAGTTATAAAAAGTATACTATAAGACATTTCGTCAGGTGTAAAATAAAACACAATCTGTTGAGGTGAATAATTTATTATGACAATGTGGTTACATTATCCTGATAATGAGTAGGATCCCTGAATGTATAATTTTCCCAGTGAATTACTGTACAAAGTTTCGGAATAGCTACTATATGACATGAAAGCAAGTGAAGATGAATTGAAAAACACAGATCCTAGATCGAGATTCTGGTAAAATTTAATGCAGCTGTTTTGATGAATATCTTACATCTCGACTATTAGACTGGAATTCGGTAGACAGTAGCTTTTCGATTAAAACCATTGGTTTACATAATACGAACAATACTTAGTATCATAAATTATTATCATTTAATGTCCTTTGGTCTCATAGACCTTGATTTCTAATTAATACTTCTGACGCTATTCACAAGTAAATCAAATCGTGCGTACAAACTATGTTTACTATTAGTAGTGAGTGATGGTTGGACTGTATTGCTTGTTAAGAAAAATTAAACAAAAATATGGACTGTCACATTTCCTATCAGTGTTTGAATAGTAACGTACTTGCCACAGGATCTAGTTGTCATGGGATAAATAGTGTGTGGGGTGACGGGTAAGGTTGACTGAAGTCCCACTAAATTAAACCAAAATATTCTTTCAATCCCACTTAATTTTAAGTGATTGCCAATTTAACATCAGTCTATAAGTTCAAATGTACTGGACTTCCTTCAGTTTTGGATGATTCATGGGAAACCGATTAATATGTGAATGATCTTTAGTGTATTTACTAATATAAGCAACCTATACCATTGCAACACAGCTATCATCTTTACCTCACAGATACCTACTTCTTCATGATATTATTACTTAGTGTATTAAATATGCTACTACTAGCCGAATATAATAATTCTCAAGCACGTTGTCATATCTCTAAGAGTAATCATCTATAAGACTAGGCTTTCAGGAGTGCCCAAAACCAACTTATCAAGTTTCTTAGTGTAGCCAATAAACTTGCTTAAAAGTACCTACTTTAAATGAGAGGATATCAGCAGTGACAATATCCATCAGTCTTACTGAACTTAATACGTTGGAACACAGGTAATATGGCGTTGCTCAACGTTTAGGATATGCGATAGACCTCGTACATAAGTTAGAACCAAGGTGTTGAGATGCACACAACCTAATATTTTTACCATCTCTGTTTACTAGTTTGTTATAGCGTTAGATTTTAATCACAACTCCTAAATAATAACATTTATCATTGAAGTACCAGTTCACTTTAACTGCAAGAGTAAGAAATTACTTTAAACACATATTCCACTAACTTAGTTCATTGTTATAAGACAAGACTACTCAAAATTAGGATTAGACGCATTACTGGTATTTAACTGTATACATGCATAAAGAAATGTGCATTAAATTCCTTATTTTATAAAGAAATATTTGTGTGCGTCGGTGGCACAGTGGTTAGGACTCTCGCCGACCATGCACATGGTCCGGGGTTCGATCTCCTGCCGACGCACACCTGATATCTATGGTCGGCCTGCGAATTTTGGGCTACCGATATCCATGCTGAAAATTCCATACTTGTACCAAAAATACAGTGTGGAATCAAGCTGTAATTAAAAATAAAAAAAAATAAAATAAAATAAGTTATGTGAAGTCATAAAGAATTAACACTGGTCAATCAGAGATACACCAAATGAACACATAACACACCTGTCGTTATGATGTGAAACAGGAGGACAGTCTATTATTAAGTGAACAGTTATGCGAAAATTTTTTGTCTGTCTGTGTTCCTCTTTTGGGCATATGTGTGTGTATACATTTTGATATTATAGACGTAACATCTAAAGATGGTAATTTGACAATCATGTTTCTAACCTATTTTCTGTTTGAAAAGTGAAGAATACGTCTCAAATAACTGTGAATGACATGATGTCTAATTGACTATTTTTATGTAACTGGTCAATATGTGGCATGTTCTTTACTGAACGTCATATCACTCATATTTCTGATACTTCTTCTTGTGTGTATAAAAGTTGGTGATTAGAAAATAACCTATGATTAAGTTAAAATTCAGAAAGCCATAATTCACTATTTGGATAATACTATATCATAATACAGAAAGTATACAATCATGTTGACGGGGAAAAACATAAATGCGTATACGGAACAGGGAATACATGTAAAATGAAAACAGTTTGTAGTCAAGTGAATTGAATTGAGGAAATAATTTTAAGTATAAAAGAAAAATATTACGCAGCTATTTAACTCTGCACTAAACATCTTTTTATTATAACGCTTATAAGTATTTAATGATAACATTCCTATCATCGCTAGACAATGGTCATCAGCTAACATTGGACAAAAGTTTACTTCGATGTGAGACATACTGAAAATATAATCGAAAGTATTCGAAAAACATTTAGGGTTAGGTGATAATGATGAGAAAACATTTTATGAAAACGCTTATACTTTATTTTTTATTTTTATTTTATTTTTTTTTGATTACAGCTTGATTCCACACCGTATTTTTGGTACAAGTATGGAATTTTCAGCGTGGATATCGGTAGCCCAAATTTCGCAGGCCGACCATAGATATCAGGTGTGCGTCGGCGTGGGCTCGAACCCCGGAGTTTAGCTGGAACTCAGAAAACTAGTGAATAACACTTAACATAATTATTTACAAAATCTTCAAATGTTGGTTCACCGGTATTTGATTGGTTTCAGGATCTCATCATCAGCTGGCATCGGTCAGAGAACTACTGGAAAACCAGGAAGTACTGGACAGCTGTTTCGACCTAGTTTGGGACTCTTTACCTTACTCACCCTTTGGCACGAATCCAGGACTTTCTGGTTACTAGGGGAGCTCGTAGATCATTCATCTATTAGGACCCTATCGAATGATCCATGAATTCCAATTTTGGCCAAATCGTAATCACCAAATTATGAAGGTATTCATGTCTACTTGAGGAGTATTTACAAATCTGACAATAAATGGCTTTGATGTACCCATATACAGTTTTATTTCTGTGGCCTATCAAGTGAAACCTATCCACCGCTGAATTTCATATGACTTTCATGTTATTCTTGAGTTAGATTTTCTAAAATATCAAGAATAAATCTACATACTAACACCTTTATCATTTGGTCACTAAATGATAACAGACAAATTTTTTATATTCTCGGTTTAGATCTAAATCCGTCGATGTAGCCCTGCAAGTTGTTACTCAGCTAAATGAAATGACACCTTTATTGTATCATATTTTGGCGTTAGACATTAGAAGTTGTTCAGTAAGGCTTCCTATCAATCAATGAACACAGTTCAGTGTATCGAATAACTTAATCTGGAATTGACCTATTAAACTGTATTGCAAACTATTAAACCAGTAAATTACAGAAGATAAGTTGAGTAAACTCTATGTGCAGCCAGAATGAAAGTTAATATTACTGCACAACTGTGTTATATACAATGTATACCTATCTGATATGAAAATGAAAGCTTACAAGCATGAATGGTAAACTTTGTGGTAGATAATAAACCATACTCTATGTGATCGTGGGTGCCACAGCCTAGAATGAAGTAGCTATCTAGCTCACCCTCGGTCTCATTAATTTCTCCAGGTAATTTCCTGAATACGGCAGCTTCTAAAAAGCTGTTGAAATTTCACGGCAAGTTCTAACCTTTTTCTAAAGATCTAGAAACGGCATAGATTATTGATTTTATGGGATATTTTACATGGTTTTGGCTTTTAGAAATTGTTGATAAATATTAAAAGGTTTATATGTCCTTTGAAATACATCTTCAAAGGACTGAGTCTGCTAATTCCCGAATTCAAACAGTCAACATGAGCTGCAAAGCAAGGAGTTGAATATAATGTAGGTATGCTAATGGGGAGAAGAGAAGATAGTTCACAAACTAATGAAGAAAACAACATTTAGCCATACGAGGCATGAACAAAGACATTTATGAATCCAGCGAGGGTTCAGAAAATTTGCCTTAAACAATCAGTTTGTTAACCTCCACTGACAAAGATTGAAGATAACGAAATTGAAGACAAACGGTTTCTAGAAGAGAACAGTGCACGGTGGTTGCTTTGTGTTGAGTTGGCGTATTCATTCTAGGTCCTCATTACTTCCTTTCTTGAATACATAATTGAGTATCATACTCTAATTTAGTAAGTTGACCATTGTTATGAGCAGCCTGTTCACTCACTGGGGAATTCATGTACATCCAGCTGGCGGACAAGTCCAAAATAGAACGAGGTGAGCATTTCGGAATACACTGCAAGTCACCATCCACCAATTAAATTCTTATTACATGCCCAGATATCGTTAAAGCATATGTACTAGAAGCCGATATATCAACCTGAAACCGAGTCAGCTGTCTACATGGCCAAAACGTAGCTCCATCAGGATAAGTTGCCGCACAACAGTCAAGAATATTATTCTTCCCCGAGACCAACGAGCAAACAAGCTCACAGACTTTTAAGCTATATAAATAGTTGAGCTCCGAACGATTTGATACAAACTGACTTCGCATCAGTGGAAGTCAGTGTCTTCTATCTGTACCTGAGAGGAATATAGGATCAGTCGAGTTAACCAGAGGGTTAGAGATATGTCAGCTGTAATTCAAATACTAGTGACGCATTTGAGTGTATCATACCATGCAGTATCTCACCAACACGAATAAACCCAATTACCAACTAAATATCACCACAAAACAGGTTTGTTTGTACAGTTTCTGTACTTTGCTCTACAACTTAGATGCATTTCAGCTCAAGATGAAATGTCGAGAAAGAATTAGTAACAGGAAACTATTGGAACTATCTAACCAAGAACTTACTGCCCAACAAATGTTCCAAAGAAAAGGGAGATTGATCAAACACACGCTGAGAAGACAGTTGAGTGACGTTGCGCTCCTAGCCATACAGTGGAACTTGAATAGAAAATGGAGAATCGGGCATCGGAGGGAGACATCGAGGAAATTGTGTGAGGAGGAGATGTGGGATTATGGACAATGGTAGAGGTGGCTAAACAAGACTGCAGAGAACAGAACAAAACGAAGATGTGCTGTTGAAGGCCCATATTACATTCGGAACTCATGGGATTATTAATAATAGAATAATAATTTTCCAAGTGTATTTCCGATGATGATGAAATAAATTCATGCTGGAACTTGTCGCTGCAATTCCTCACCTGATTTAACAGCTTGTGTATTTTGTACTTCTCTAAATAAAATGTCTCACAGGTAATTTCGAATATCAAGGGGAGAGATATTGCCATTGTGCTCATAGTTTCAAATCGGTGGTCTGAACACGTCTAAAATCCCATTAGTTTTGGGCACTAGAGATTACTGGAATTTTGAGTAAGATAATTCATCTTCCGAGTTTAACCACGGATTGATATCAGTCAGAGAACCATTGGAAACCAGGCAGTATTGGACAGCTGTATCATACTAGTTTGGGAATCATAGGAAGTACGCACACACTGCCAGGGTTCGAACCAAGGACCTTTTGGTTACAAGGTAAACCATTCAGTCACTGAGATCCGATTCATTGGCCAGCCAATGAATTATAACTTCTACCAATTCGTGATTTAGCGTGACCACCAATCAATGTTATCGGCGAGAATTCCATCCTCACACCTGACTGGGTGGACCTCACTGCTCACGACTCCAGGAAACTCTGTCCTGTAACAAGTCACTAGTAAGCATCTTATAGATCATTCTATTATGGACTAGAGTGGAATTCGCATTCATAGTGGTAGTACTTTGGCGATAATAACTAGAATGCTCAGGACCTACAGTTCGGAGGTTTCGCATTTATCAGTAGAGTTTTCTGTAAATCGGAAGCTCATAAGCTCTTATAAAATCAAATTAACATCATTTAGTATTTCGACTGGCAACTTTACCACAGAAACATTCAAGTGACAGGTTGTAGTGCTTGATGGAACAGCGGTATTCTTGGTTTTATACTTCGATCTTGTTAACAAAGTAATAAGGATTTAGTTACTGGATACTCAAATAAAAGGGATAGAGAAAATGACCACTCATACAGGCTTCATTTTTACATTTGAAACAAGAGAGTACTTTCATCTAAACAGTGAAGCACACTTCAGACATCAGTTTTTGTCTTGTCATTTGTTGCCAAGTATAGTGATTGGGACAATTTAGGACAGAACCTTTAGAGTACCTTATATCTAACGTCCACGCATGACGATAACTACAATGTCAATGGGCTGAAGTTGCAGAGCAATGCCATCTTGAAAACATTTCTGACTGCAGTGAAACTAAGACAGGCTTCATATAGAATAAACAATGCTCATCATGGACGGTTTAGAAGAAGTTCAGTTTGCACTGCACAGTACTGAACAACAAACAGGTCCTAACATATAAACTTCAAGATTTGTGCAACAAAAAGGCCACGCTGATTAAAACAAGAATTTTTTTCACTTAGTGCGATTGTAATGACCATTGGTGAAATATTTTGGTATTAGCTGTTTGGTTTTAGATGCTTACCTGAAGATATCTTTAATATCGAATCTCTTTCAAACTAGATTTATAAAGTATTCATGCATAATTTATAAGAATAGAAGTAAAATACAGTTGATTAGTCATCCTACTGATGATATTTAGATGCATATTTGACCTTATTTCAGTAAAAGTCCATATTATAATTCAAAAATACTATCTGCTACAGTATATTAAAAAGGCCTGTTTTTCACCATTTTAAATGAGCAATTAAATAACTACCATAGTTACGATTCATAGTTGACTAATGTGTATTTAAATCGTTAACCTGTAGACACATAGATTAACGAGTATTCCACCCACGTTTGGCAAAGCTTAACTTCTTCCTTTCATCACTTGGGTCATAGAAACAACACCCACTCACTTTACCATCAGACTACTGAGTCAACTAGTTGAATACTAAAATCACGAGTTAAGCTGAAGGTCATTGAAAAAATATGGATATCGGTTTGAAACAAAAGTGGGCGGTAATGGTTTGCTTTTGAAGAGCTATGTGTTATTTACCTATGCATTGATCACGTCGTGTCTAGATAGGGGAGAAAATTGCGACTCAGTTGACTGAATAGTCAACAAGCTGGCCTCGTAACCTGTAAGTCCTGGATTCGATCTTCGATGGGGATGATAGTGAGAACTGCTGAAAGATCCTAGACTAGGATGAGACAGCTATCGAGTACTTCCTGGTTTTCAGTGGTTTCTAACTGATGCTGGTTTGTGATGAAGTCTACGCAGAAGTTAATCTAAATCCCCACAAAACCCAAAATCAAAATTTGTCTTATGGTGCAGCACAATTTAAACGTTCCAGAAACAGGCAGCGACTGGGATGCTGAAAGAAAACGGAATCCTGTTTTCTGTATTGATTTGTCATCACTACAACTGCTTAGCATATTTTACAGAGTTGCAACTAACTTTCAAATCAAGTAGCTAGAGTTCTGTGTTTTTTATTCCATCACGTTCTCATTGGAATATAGGGCTTCAATCTAGAGCTTTGAAGTTTCGGTAGTAGTGATGTTTATTTTCACAGGATGGGGTTGCCAGCCTCATGCCCAACCTTCCCTCTTTACTAGTCTTACTATTGGCTTAGCAAGGTGTAGGTGTGCGTCGGCCAGGGATCGAACCATATGCGTGGTTGGTGCGCATTCTACCGCTGTGCTACCGACTCAGGAATTCTGAGTAAATTCCTAAAAATGACTAAATCTGACTCAGCACTAAAATTATTCCAGGAAACTCATAACATCTACGATAGGGATATTTATAGGATTATGTGTGGGTTAGTATTAAATTAATTAGGTTTGAAATGAAGATCTTTCTACTTATCTGGGTGGAGTACACTTTTAAAACTAAATTTTTTAAAATAATAAAATATTGGTTTAATCATGTCAAACTGACTACTGTTTGGGTGAGAAATAAACAGCAAATTGGTAATTCACTCTTTAATTTAGAATGCCATATGTGGTCTGCAAAATACAAAATTAAGGAATACTTACAATAAATGATTCACTTTTTGTGTTATTTTTGACATAAATTAAAAGGATGTAACTAAAATGGAACGCGAGATTGATTTCGAATAGATTTGTGTGTGTTCTCATAAAGCGTTAAATGTATCGTTTATATTCATTTGTCAGTAAAGAAAGGCGTTGTCTGTTATATTAGACACATAATAGAATGTCTTCGAATTTAGGACAAACTTGAAACAATGTGACTTGAGCAACTGGAACTTATAGTAAACTCGAAGGCTACATGTAAAGAATGTGTGAGACGTGGTATGGTATGTGGAGTTGAACACAGATTATCATGCGTAAGAAGTTTCCAACTTATATTTTCATTTTCTGTATTTCTTATCAAAATTCACACTGTATTCTCATAATTTTTACCAACTTGACAGATCAAATAGTGATTGTCAATGCTAAGTGACGTAATTTAAGTATCAAATTATTTGGTGATGTATGACATCCAATGGTCATTTTTTTATCCTTATAGAATCTAATTCATTAAGCCTACTATACACTGCTGATCAGATTGAAATCAATATAGACATTTAATTAAGTGGATTGATAGTATTTAAGGGTGTGTGATAGATCAATTATATATTGAGAAATTAATGTTAAATATATAGTGTGTTGCCTTACAATTGAAAGAAGGCAGTCTTTCTGTAGGAGCGTGTTGTGAATTTACAATTTTCTTTCTGTTCTTGAGTTACTTAAGCGAATTTAAGTAGTCAAAAGTTGTGTTATTGTTATTACACCCTATTATTTCGAGTGTAACTAAGGGTTTCAGAGGCACATATTCATTTTTTTCGTGTTTTCTACAGTCCTCTTTAGGTAGTTTCATGATTGCTCATAAGTTCTCATCTCTTCCATATAAGCCTCGGAAGCCCAATTGAAGTCCCGCTTTGGGGCCTGGCACACATACACATCGGTCTTCTCAGAGTGCTTCCGATTTACCTCCATTTTCTTCTGACTGCTTGTTGGGTGATAGGTTCTTGGTTTATTCGTTACCAGAGTTTCTTGTTACTAATCCTTTCTGGTCATTTGATGTACAATACAGAGCCAGTGAAGGCAACTGTTAATAAAAGTGTTAGGCAGGCTGTTCGAAATGCTTGCTGTGATGCACCAGGTCTCTGAGCAATACCGATGCAATCACTGACTTGATATTAGTACTGAAGATCGGAATCTTGTTCCTTACGCTGAGTGCATCAGATTTCCACGCTGTTTCAGAGTAATAAAGGTATGTCTTACTTTTCCGACCCTGGTTTTGACATCCTTATCTATGTTACCCGTGGTTACTACCTACATAAGTGAAGTGACTTTCCTCAAACTTCAACCAAAAGTTGTAGGGAATTTCAAATGCAGTTTTGCAGTTTCTAAGGTTTATAGAACCTAATGAAGTAATAAAAAGGGGATGTCCTTTTTATTATTAGGTGATTTCTGAAATGTATTTTTTTTCGAGGATATTACCTCCAATTAATGATTCATAAGTGATCAAAGTGTAGTTCTAGCGTTTCTGCCTCCTCTAACACTAGTCCTAAGTTATAATTCAATCCAGAAATCAAGCCACAGTATCGCATGTAAGTAACATATCACTGAAGAGTGAAAAAAAGGATTAATTTCTAGGAAGTTATTCAAAAGTCTCTCAGGGAGGATAGGATTCAGTATCTCCGCTTTATATATCAGTTTTCACCTCGCTTTCTTTCTAAGATGGTTAAACTATACTCATATGTTTTTGAAATTGATGTATGTTATGGACATAACCTTAGCCTGGCAAATTTCCTTGCTAACATAGTGCAAAAGATCTTCAGCCAAAACTCACAGAATTTTTTATAATATAAGGATGGTTCGCATTTATATCAGAATACTCACGTTTAATCCAGGGAAATGATACCACTCGATTCAGATTGTCATTTAGGAGAGTAAAATTCCATTGACGTGAACAGTATTAGACAGTACACAGATATCATTTAAACTATGAAACAGTTACGTCGATTTCTTGTGAGAAATCCAGAACGATAATTGCGATCCTTTAATTAACCAAACGTTTGAATTACGCCTAAAATCTAAAAACACAGGATTTGTCTAAAGTACGGTACTATATTATGTACAAAATAATGAATGCAATATACAAATCTCAGGCTATGAGGTGTTTATGGCTGAATTCTGTCAAATGTACTGTCACTGTGAGTTAATAAGGAAAAATAACAAGTCTATTTCGAGTGCGGTCCGCGGTCAGATTAAATGGCTCACGAATGTCCAGATAGAGAATAAGAGGA